GGGGGGGGGGAGCTTTATTTTATCATTTGTTGAGAGTATTCACAAAACCGTCGTGATATTTTATTAAAAAAACAAACTTGCACCAATCACAGAAAACAGCTATTGAACAGTTCACAAAAGTTTTGTTTTATTAAGTGATTTGGAGAGAAATAATTTGTAAGTGGAATACCAAGCACAGCAATGCTATCTTCCCCAGTACAGTAATACTATACAACTACCTATTGTAATGTAGATGTAATCTGAAAACAGGATTGAAAAAAAATCATTTGTCATCGAGTCAAAAAAACAACATATTTGCTAATTTTTGAATAAAACAAATTTCTTTTCTAAATTGTCATGAAATAAATTACAAAATGATTCATTATATTGTTTAAAATAATTTACATGTAGTTTGTATACATTACTTCTAGAGATTATTCAGATACACCATACATGTATTTCTTTTTCACTAAATGCTCAAGATCACAAACATGAAAGGGAGATAACTCTGTGCCACTTCTTACATTATTCTTCACTGATAGCAATATAATAGAAACAGTGATGACTGCCTGAGTACTTTGTCACTTTATTATTTTACTCCTTGCTACATGAAGGTGTTAAGGGTTATTATGGGTTTTTTTGTCCTATGTGTCAGTCAGTTTGTCCGTCTGTTCATCATACTCTTTTACAGGTATGATAGTCTTGGAAAAGAACTTGAACAAGCTTGGATATAAGTTTGATCAGTCAAAGGTCAAGGTCACTGCTACATGTGCTAAAAATAACACTTCACCATCATAGCCTGACATCGATCTAATTGCTGTCTTGTTAAAGGATTAAGAACTATTTTCTGCCTTGGAAAGGTTCAGATATTGATTATCACCGTGATTGGTCAAAGCTTGAAGTCACTGTTTATAGCAAATTTCATGAATTCAATCTCTAATACAATCTACTTGCTGAAGTGTGTAGTTTATAACAGGACTTGAGGGAAAACTCACTCTGTTAGACATAGATCATCATCAGTCGCCATACATTGGATAAGGACAAACAATCTTTTCATTCAGGAAGCATTATACAATATACATGTTTTTATCTAGAAGGCTGTTTAAGTATTCTACATCTACAGTCTCCTAGCATACAGGTCTAAACACTTCACAACCAGTGCCATACAGGTCTCAACACTTCACAACAAGCGGCATACAGATCTAAACACTTCACAACCAGTGGCATACAGGTCTAAACACTTCACAACCAGTGGCATACATGTCTAAACACTTCACAACCAGTGACATACGGGTCTAAACACTTCACAACCAGTGGCATACAGGTCTAAACACTTAACAACCAGGGGCATACAGGTCTAAACACTTCACAACCAGTGGCATACAGGACTAAACACTTCACAACCAGTGGCATACATGTCTAAACACTTCACAACCAGTGGCATACAGGTCTAAACACTTAACAACCAGTGGCATACAGGTCTAAACACTTCACAACCAGCGGCATACAGGTCTAAACACTTCACAACCAACGGCATACAGGTCTAAACACTTCACAACCAGCGGCATACAGGTCTAAACACTTCACAAACAGCAGCATACAGGTCTAAACACTTCACAACCAGCAGCATACATGTCTAAACACTTCACAAACAGCGACATACAGGTCTAAACACTTAACAACCAGTGGCATACAGGACTAAACACTTCACAACCAACAGCAGCATACAGGTCTAGACACTTCACAACCAGCAGCGTACAGGTCTAAACACTTCCCAACCAGCGGCATACAGGGCTAAACACTTCACAACCAGTGGCATACAGGACTAAACACTTCACAACCAACGGCGTACAGGTCTAAACACTTCACAACCAACGGCATACATGTCTAAACACTTCACAACCAGTGACATACAGGTCTAACCACTTCACAACCAGTGGCATACATGTCTAAACACTTCACAACCAGTGACATACAGGTCTAACCACTTCACAACCAGTGGCATACAGGACTAAACACTTCACAACCAGCGGCATACAGGTCTAAACAATTCACAACCAGCGGCATACAGGTCTAAACACTTCACAACCAGTGGCATACAGGTCTAAACACTTCACAACCAGCGGCATACATGTCTAAACACTTCACAACCAGTGGCATACAGGACTAAACACTTCACAACCAGTGGCATACAGGTCTAAACAATTCACAAACAGCGACATACAGGTCTAAACACTTAACAACCAGTGGCATACAGGTCTAAACACTTCACAACCAGTGGCATACATGTCTAAACACTTCACAACCAGTGACATACGGGTCTAAACACTTCACAACCAGGGGCATACAGGTCTAAACACTTCACAACCAGCGGCATACAGGTCTAAACACTTCACAACCAGTGGCATACAGGTCTAAACACTTCACAACCAGCAGCATACAGGTCTAATCACTTCACATCCAGTGGCATACAGGTCTAAACACTTCACAACCAGTGGCATACAGGTCTAAACACTTCACAACCAGCGGCATACAGGTGTAAACATTTCACAACCAGTGGTATACAGGTCTAAACACTTTACAACCAGCAAAATACAGGTCTAAACACTTCACAACCAGTGGCATACAGGTCTAAACAGGTTGAACACTAAATGCTTCACACCCAGCAGCTTGCACCTGTATATTGTTGAGTGTCTAGTGTTTAAAACTCTTCACACTAAGCAATATACATGTTTGAACAACACTTTACAGTATGTTGCTGGGAGTGGGGTGTGGAATCTTGTATGCAAGGTTTTAACACCTCATACCCAGCAACATACAGGTGTATACACTAACCACTCCACACCCAGCAACACACAGGTTTATACACTAAACACTCCACTCTCAGCAACACACAGGTTTATACACTAACCACTCCAAACCCAGCAACACACAGGTTTATACACTAACCACACCACACCCAGCAACATACAGGTTTATACACTAAACACTCCACACCCAGCAACACACAGGTTTATACACTAACCACTCCACACCCAGCAACATACAGGTTTACACACTAAACACTCCACACCCAGCAACACACAGGTTTATACACTAAACACTCCACTCTCAGCAACACACAGGTTTATACACTAACCACTCCAAACCCAGCAACACACAGGTTTATACACTAACCACACCACACCCAGCAACATACAGGTTTATACACTAAACACTCCACACCCAGCAACACACAGGTTTATACACTAACCACTCCACACCCAGCAACATACAGGTTTACACACTAAACACTCCACACCCAGCAACACACAGGTT